AATCGCCTGTCATCACACGACGACAGTTAGTATAGGTTAGGATAGGTCCTGAAGCATAACCGCTAACAGACTAAATCCGTTTAAGTTTCGATGTTTTCTTTTCGGTGTTTTATATAAATGCCTAAAAAAGGTTAACGAGCTACCCAGCAATACATGTAAGGGGTAAATGTGGTGTAGCCCTCATAAAATACCAGATGACACTGATTGCAGGGGATGCTAAGGGTTGGTTACTGACAAATCCTGAGAGAGGGAAAATTTGAAATGATATTACAAAATGTCTCAGTAGTTTTATTTCAAATTATATACAGTGTGTTTATTTGAGCGGGCGCAAATGAAAACGCTACGTTCCAGTTTATATTGCCTTGTAGGTATGTTCATGACATCAAATCAATAATCTTTAAAAATAATTTGCTTAAGAGTTTAAAAGTAATGGTCAAAATAGAACCGGCATGTTCAAGTTTGTCTTCTGATCAGGTTTTATGAAGCATACTTTGCTTGTATTATGGTTAGTGATATATGATCTGTGATTTCGAACTCTCACGCGGTAGACGGGTGAGGACGCAGGAAAGTTATGACACATTATTTTGTCTTTGTGAGGAAGTTGTCCTCAAGAGAATGAAGAGAATCGCTAGGTGTTCATAGCATTGCAAAGTCTCTGTAAGAGTACATCGAGTGCCTTGTATCGAGATTTCAAGAGATCTTGTTCCCTTGATCACAGCTTCATCGGGCAAATAGAAGTTTTGGCCGGCAAATCATTATAAGTGCATGCAAATTAGTATATTTCAGCGGTTATGTTCATAGATTCAAGCAAGGATTATTTTGTTTTACCTACTTTTGTGGAAAGTTACTGACATTTTCCCTGTTATGCAAATCTTTGTCTACACTCTTCACTAAATTTTTTACAGAACGTCTGTATTCTGTAAGTTTGCGATTCATCCATTAATATTTTGTTTTATTGCAAACGGCATTTTATCAGGTTTCAATATTCAAACCTAATAAAATTATCTTATTGTTGTAACTTCTGGGATATTTCGTGTCGATATAGCTGCTTAAAAGAGTTGCATAACTAGTCTTCGTTTCCCTTTCTCAGACACCTCCGAAGTGGCTGGCAGATGCTGGCTTTTTAATTCAATCGATTTTAGCCTCAGGGAGGATGCCTTGTTCATGTTATCATCCATGTGTTCTTTAGTCTTGTTAAGCTCGGTTTCCGCGCCAATGAAATTTCCTCTGTCACGGCGCATTTTTTTACAGGTCCTCTTCGATAGATGAATCGTCTCAGTACCTGTATGAAAGAATTGATTTCGAGGGAATCTGCTACCTTTATATGTACTGCTCTGCTACCATGAAAGTGAACAATGCTCCATATGTCTTCACTACAGATCTTCCTGTCAAATATGCCAAGGGCGCTAGAAATCTGTACCACCGTATGTCAAGAGGGGTGCGGATCCACGCGCGACTTTGGTAAGTCAAGAATTCTTCTGCTGTCCCATGGTATTTCGAGGATAACGACATGTGGCACCAGTGTGTTTCCACTGATAATCCAAGAGCCACTAACAAAAATTTCGTTCAAGGTGATCCCTCTTCCACTATTCTTCCATCTGTGTGAAGTGACATATTCTTCTATTCTTCCATCTGTGTGAAGATCGGGGTCTTAAGAGGTTCTGATAGATCTGCCTTCCGTATTCGTCCACCAACTCTTATAATAACGTCTCTGTTGAGATGTGGATCCAGTTTGTAAAGAAACCTTAAGACACTTCTTTTCTTTGTCCAGTGCACGACTACCGTACTTGGCGTTTGTTTGGATGTTTGGGAGACTTCTAATTTTTGAAGGAAACACTTCTTTTTACAATTGCTTTATTGTCTCTACTTCGGCTTCCTCTAAGTCGGCTACGCTGGGTCCTGTGTTAGCAGAGGTTTCCTTTGTCGATCCATGCTCGGATGTACCATCACTGGGCTCCTTCCCTTTGGATAAGACTTTAATTCTAAGTTTTCTCTTGAATCTCAAACAAAGCACTACAGCTATCTTTCTGCAAACTTGAGAATCTCCTTAATCTCTTGAGGATGTCGAAACTCTCTTTCACCGTACTTGTATTAACTGGAATTCTCTTGACCTCTAGAGAATCGGGATCTACGTGTTTTTCGTAGTTATATTTCTTAAACCGGCTGTCTGTAGGTTCTCTGAGTGAGTCAGGAAGCCTTAATCCACACTGATTTTTTCTACCAATTCTTTTGATGACGTGCCCCTTAAACCTTCGTCTACGATATTTGACGTAGAGTCTACGTAAGGCCCCTGTGCCGGGATTGTGGGATCATGAATGAGTTGAACTCTAATGGCTTCATGGACATGAAAACGACTGGATTCGTTGCTTATAAATCTTCGAGCGACTTTACTCTCAATCAGAGAGTAGTCCTTCAAAATGTCACCTATCTTAATAGATAAAGTGGCAACCGCCAATTCCAGCCTCAAGATGCTGATTGTCTTCTTTGGTTTCATGCGAGCCTTTCGCATAACAAACGAAACGGTGTTCTCGAGGACTTGAGTTACTGATGTTTCCGTGTTTTGCACAGAATGATGAAAGTTGAATCCTCCGTTTTCAAAAACTGGCTTGTCATCCTTTTCTAGTTTAATAGCTTCGTCTTCGATGCTCGCCGATTTAAGAACATCGTACATTAGGACAGCCGACACCGTTTTAAAGGTGTCAGCTGTCCAAATGCCATACTCGACTCCATTGTCTTCCGCCGTACGTGTGAGAGCATAGTTAACATATGCAGGGGAGGACACTGCGTCGAAGAAGTATCATGCAATACTCTCCCACCTTTCTTTCCATGTCTCCGTCTGGCCACCACAGAAACTTGAGAAAGTTTTGATCTACCTTTCTCACCTTTACCTAAAAGAATATCTGTTCTACATCTGCCATAAAGGCGTACTTATCTTATCGTAATCTGGTTAGAGCGTCAACTAAGTTGCTGGTAACATCTGGTCTTTGAAGGAATTCTTATTCAAGGAGTGTCCTTCGAATGTCGCCGAACAATCGAAAACCACGCGAAGTTTCATTGGTTTATGCGGGCGATAGATTCCAAGGAATCGTTCTCCCGGAAGTCGATTTGCGGTTAAGTCGTCTCGTGATACCGAAAGTCTGAATAAACCATCTCTCACGGCATACCGGAAGTGCATTTGCAAGACTCTTAGAAAATATTCCGCAGGTTGGTACAGTGGGGGGAGGGGGTGTGGGAGATGAAGATGTTGTTAACACGATTCGTCTCAGAAAATGTCGACCCGTGTGGCTATTGGGCTTTACAACTAAATCATTTTTGCAAAATCGGCACCGCTGATGTTAACTTATCAATATCGTAGCCATCGACTTTGTACAATTTGAACTAGACTGATGGAGATCATGAAATTAAAGCTCAGCAATAATAATGTAAAGATGAAGCAATTAAATGTAATAAAAAAAAAATTCAAGTCCCATAAGGGATTTGAACCCACGACCCTCCGTGATCTGGTGGGATGCTCTAACCACGAGTTACTGGAGATTCTATGGTGAGCAAGGGTCAATTTGTAGGACTAGACTGGAACCGCATCGCGCGGCTACACAGCCAAGTATTGACCAACGGATATGAAACTCACTCACAGCATCGCGGTGTCACATTAAAGCATATCAAGATGCGGCCAACCAACTTACAAAGTGAGCATGTCAAGGTGAAACAATTTAATGTAATAAGAATAGAAAAATGTAATAATAAAAAATCCAAGTTCCTGCGCGATGCTGTTAGTGAGTTTCATATACGTTGGTCAATACTTGGCTGAGTAGCCGCGCGATGCGGTTCCAGTCGGGACCCACAAATTGACCCTT